TGCTGCTTGAATTTTGGCCTAGCCAGCAGGAATCTGATGAAATGCGAGCATTGTATGTCCTGATAAAATGGCGATTGAGGATTTGCATCTACTTTAAATATGATTCACAAAGGGTAAATCTGTCCATAAACATACAGTTTGGGTTGGCCAACCCAGCTAGGGTAAGACCCATTTAAAGGTTCAGTGCATTTCTAGTTGGCTTATTTTTATTGATCTCCATTGTTCTCCCCAGCAGTTCTGTCCAGTTGACCTATCCCTCATTCCAGTGGAAGGTATGTCTAGAAAAGGATAGTCCACACCCCCTGGATGTATTTGTGGATTAAAATAGAGTCTTATAACTAAACCTTACCAAAAGATATGTGTAGTGGCAAAAAGCCACTTTGGGTTAAATTGGGGTTTCTCAAGTGTTCCTCCAGAGGTTGTTAGAGGTTACTTGAGCAATGAGAAATTTCAGCTTCTTAGATAAGCTCCCACTGACTCAATTGATCTTTTTAGCTATCTTTAGGGGGGTAATTCTTCCCAATGACCACAAATGTAAGGAGCATTCATCCTACTGACCATCACACTAATGCATCATACGTTGTAGATATAGAAATTTTTAGCAAGGTTTTTCAAGGGTTCCTCTTTGTTGAATTGTTTGAGAAAGGCTGGGTTTAACCAATCATTTTTTGTGGAATAATAACTGACGATGCGGTAGGAGTGTGTCCTTCGCCTGCATTCTTTAGCTATAATGGTGTCCATCTTTACCATCTCAGAAAGTCTGGATTTATACTTACATGGTAAAGCCACCCAAGCAGTATATATACACTACATTAGGTATATTCAGTATTTGGAAATTGGTATCTCTTTATTAGAAATATAGTAGCCCTTAGAATATTAGCTGAATGCAGTAAGTATATTGTAGCATACTGGATATTTTAAGGCTTGCGAAGTCCAGGGTGAAGTACCCAAAATGTTGTCCTCACTCACCCAGTGTAGTGCACGTCACTCACCTCCCACATCACACAACACTCTCTGTAGCACCTCTTTTTCTCAGAGCACTGAAGCTTACACACAACACTTTACACGGGATAATTATAGCAATTTACATTCGATAAGAGAACAAAAGTGCTCAAATTGCCTGTCTTTTTTTGTAAATTGACACTTGATTTCAGAAACACATGAGATTGCCCGCTGTATCTGATGGGTGCTAAATGTAAGGCGTGTTATCTAACTGGATGAGAGGGTAACAAGAGCGGAGACATGCACAGGGTGGCAGTGATCGCTAACAGGCAAGGCAATGGTGATGGGTGACACAATGTTTCCCTTGGGGTCTGCTGACAGCTCCCAGGCGAAGAGAGTTCTGTTGTACAACACATCATGTACAGATCCTGCATGTATAGCGGTGACGGTTGGGTTGATCAATGGCACATCTCAGGGAGACACAACAAGGTTAGGTTATTATTATTATTATTATTATTACTACGAGTTTATATAGCGCCAAAGGGTTTGCTCAGCGCTGTACAATAGGTTCACATCTATGCGGCCGTGCGGGCTGTGATTTGCACGTGCATGAGAGCCCATTCATTTGAATGGGCTGCCGTGCCTCAGGACACGCAGGAAAGAAATCACTGCACTATTTTTGAAATTTCAGCCCATGCGGAAACCGAGGTTCGCAGTACGGTTGTGATTTCCAGTGCAGGAGGCATGCCATTAGGAGTAATGGCACCCGCCCATAGGGCACGCATTTCTCTGTGTGGGTGGTTGCAGCTGCTGGTATTTGTGCAGATCCCGCAGTGGCACCACCCACACAGATATGAACCTAGCCTAAAGACTGATGTACAGAGGCTGGTTCAGAAAGTTCATTTACATTTAATCTGATGTTTTGTTGGAAAGTTGCTGTAGATGTGCCTGGACATATGGCTGAGCTCTTCTTGTTTTATTTTTACACAAGAACATAGAAACAGGTAATTACATCGTAAGCATATAGGAGAACTATACATTAAGACTAAAGCTATCACTTAGTGGCAGAACAACGGTATAAAATATGAGAAAGGCTGTTGCATCTGTGTCTGTATAAACAGCATGCAGTTAGATACCATAACCCCAGTACATACAGTTTCTGAAGCCGCCGCTCTTTCAGATAAAAGTGATCTGAGTGGCTGATTAGCCTCCCACTCCCGCTGTTTTCCGGTGGTTCTCGGGCTTACCTGGCTCATTGTGAAGTCCAAGAACCGATCCGGCAATTGCAGCAGCTGGCCATAGAGATGAGTAGAGGAAAGATGGTCTCTGCTCATCTCTATAGCCTACAAGACCAAACGATGTCATGATGTTACTTCTGGTTCACGGCCAATGTAAACAAGGCCTTTTTTTTAAACATTAGAGTTTTGTTGGGGTGTAAAGAAGGTACACAATGCAAAAAAAAGCTATTTGTTTGGAAAAAAGGGGTAGGGAGGATTAAATACCAAGTCTGACACTGAAATTCCATTACCATCCCAATATGCCAGGGTACTAGGTGTAATCCTAGACTCCCATCTGTCCTTTCAGCCCCAAATCCAATCATTGTCCAAATCTTATAGACTTCACCTCCGCAACATCTCCACGATACGCCCGTTCTTAACCTCTGAAACCACTAAGCAACTTATCCACTCCCTTGTTATCTTTCGCCTTGAATATTGTAACTCCTTCCTCATTGGCCTACCTCATCGCAGGCTATTCCCTCTTCAGTCTATCATGAATGCTGCTGCCAGACTCATCCACCTCACTAACCATTCCACATTTGCCACCCCTCTCTGCCAATCCCTCCACTGGCTTCCCTTTGCCCAACGAACAAAATTCAACACATTAACATATAAAAAATGTATAACTCTGCCTTAAATTACATCACTGATCTCGTCTCTAAATATCACCCAAACCGTCCTTTCCACTCCTTCCACGACCTCCTGCTCTCTAACTCCCTTGTCTCCTCTTTCCATGCTCATCTCCAGGACTTCTCTAGAGCCTCCCCCATCCTCTGGAACTCTCTACCTCAATCTATCAGACTATCGCCTACTCTGCGCACTTTTGGGCAATCTCTAAAAACCTATCTCTTCAGGGAAGCCTATTCTGCCTTCAGCTAATAACGGAATCTTCTATTCCTCCTACCAGTTCATCCCCCACAGTTATTACCTTTTGTACTACCAGCCCCTCCCTATTAGATTGTAAGCTCCAAGGAGCAGGGCCCTCCTAACCCTCTGGTATTAAACTGTATTGTTGCTGTACAGGGGTGGACTGACAACTCATGGGGCCCCCGGGGAATAGGGGATCATGGGGCCCCTGTTGTCAGGGACTACGGGTCTCGCAGCGGCGCACAGGTCTGCACATACGCAGATTGCCTAGGTGCACTAATGTGCAGGCACTAGGACCTGGGCGCCAGCGGCGGCAATTGCACCAATGACGGTGCAGGGTGCACTATTTAAACTGGCCAGACGGTGACTAGGTTGCCGCATGGTCTAGTTCCTGTACCCGTGTTCTGAAGTGTGTTCCTGTTGCCGATCCTGCTTGTCCTGATTTGTGTTGACCTTCTCCTGCTCTGACCCCCGGCTCGTCCCTGACTACTCTCCTGCCTGTTGTTATATTACTATTGGACCTCCCGTTGCTGAACCTTGGCTCGTGACCCGGCTGCTCTCTGTCTACTGTTTAGTACCTACCTGCCTCCACCGTTACCGACCCGGCTAGTCTGACTACGCTCATTCCTGACTGTCATCCATCCATCCTGCTCGGGACCTGGACTTGTCAGCCTCTTCACAGCAGGCTCACCCCCCAGGACGTACCCTCGGCGGGACCCCTCTACCACAGTTGGGTGCACTCAGGGGTCGCGACCTGGTTTCAGTCTTGCACCAAGTCCATCCCCACCATCAGGGGCTCTGGTGAGAAGGCAGACTGGGACTTAGACTCCGCGTCCTGGGGAATCCCGTTCTGTGGAATCCCGTTCTGTGGATCACTAGTGATTCCGCCGGGCGGTGCCTGGCACCTGTGTCCTTACCCAAACTCAAAAAAGCCTATGAAAAAGGTACCAGGGGCATCTCATGGGGCCCCTTACTGACCCCGGGCCCTCGGGCAGTGCTTGAGTTTCCAAATGGTCAGTCTGCCCCTGTTGCTGTATTGTCTCCCTTTATATTGTAAAGCGCTGAGCAAACTGTTGGCGCTATATATATCCTGTATAATAATAATAATATATATATTCCTTGAAACATACATCATTCCATCTTCTTACCATCTTCACAAAACCACTGTGACAGGCCAGATTGGTCACGTACAACTTGGGGCACTCAGTGAGCAGACATTCTAGCTAGGTGGGATTAAGAAACTTGAAGATTCTTCCTCTTCCACCCCCCATCCTCTGGAAGCTCCTCCATAAATAGGATCCTAAGCCCTTTGACCTTTTCCATACAGCCCTTAGAATGGAGCATCATCTCCCAATTTCACACTCCTAATTCACACCCTGCTCTCACCACAACTGCAGACGGAGGGAAGCAATGTAAAAAGAAAAATGAGGAAAAGAAATTTTCTTTTATGGCTCTTAAGTGCAAATTGTGGGAAACGTCTGATTACCATGTTTAACCCCTGTTTTTGTATGGTCCTAAAGCAGCTGTAAATATGTCAGGACTATGCAGATTGCAATAGCAGGCTGACCTTGGACGGAGCACTTTGTCGCCTCTTTGGCCCAGGAGGTGCTCTCTGCTGAAGATATATTACAAAGTGCATCTGCCTTTTATCCATTATACTGCTGGAACAAGAGCCTTTTCTGCACCATCACACTTAGAATATACACACAAAGATAACCAGAATGTTTTCACACCAACTTTGCTGAACTGCGTTTATCAACTCCGGTGCAAAATAATGACATTGCAAAAACAACCTTTATCTATGTACTCTGTTCACACTAAACTAGTGAGTGTTGAGTAAAAATGTAGGCATTAAGGTCTCTTCTACACTTGTAGCTGGGGGGCAGAAAAAACTCATGACTGAGCCACCTCTTTACTGCCCCTGCCAAGTGCTCCCCATCAAGCTGCAAAGGCGGTGGATAGAGGTGTTCACATGCCACTACGCTTGCATCCAGGGGCGGACTAACCATTTGGAAACTCGGGCACTGCCTGAGGGCCCGGGGTCAGTAGGGGGCCCCATGAGATGCCCCTGGTACCTTTTTAATAGGCTTTTTTGAGTTTGGGCAAGGACACAGGGGCCCCATGATCCCCTATTGCCCGGGGGCCCCATGAGTTGTCAGTCTGCCCCTGCCCTGATGTGGCCTGTGCAGTAAAGTGCAATTTTTTATTACTACTTTTCCTAAATAACTTTTGCACACCTATGATTCTGAACACAGCTACATCCTTGTCTAGGACACAAAGCACACAGCTGTGTAAAGATCTGTAATGCAGTGATGTGTTCAGAGGTGTAAGAAAAATAGAAAATGTGATATTTGAGTGCAGTAATACAAATATCACCTAAATATCACCCAAACCGTCCTATCCGCTCCTTGCATAACCTACTGCTTCCTAGCTCCCTTGTCTCCTCCTCCAATGCACATCTCCAGGACTTCTCCAGAGCTTCCCCATCCTCTGGAACTCTCTACCCCAATTTATCAGACTATCGCCTACTCTGTTTACTTTTAGGCGATCTCTGAAAACCTCTCTCTTCAGGGAAGCCTATCCTGCCCTCAATTAATAATTGAATCTTCTATTCCTCCTACCAGTCCGTCCCCCACAGTTATTACCTTTTGTTCCACCAGCCCCTCCCTCTTAGATTGTAAGCTCTAAGGAGCAGGGCCCTCCTAACCCTCTTGTATTGAACGGTATTGTTGCTGTATTGTCTCCCCTTATATTGTAAAGCGCTGAGCAAACTGTTGGCGCTATATAAATCCTGTATAATAATAATGTATGCAGCGTATATGCATGAATTGCAACACTGGCAGGTAAAAGAAATGAAGGATAATTTTTTTCTGCCTGTATGCACATAGGCACGTCTTTACACCTCTACGCAGGAATACCTGAGGTCTCTGTAGAATATTTGCATTTTTAAATTATAATTTTTCTGCCAGTAAGATACTTTGTATAAATTGTGACTTCCATGTACAAGAGATTCAAGATCAATCATCAATCAATTAGGGGTTGGATAAAACGTTTAGTGCCGGTTCACACTGGAACATGTTCTGTGCGCCTTTCCCGCACTGCTCTCAAAATGCGCTCTGTCTGTGATCTGCAGTGTAAATGTAAAGTTAATGGCACCCCAAATGCAGATAGCAAACGCAGTGTTTTTGCCTGCACTGGATCACATGGAACCAAAGGCCCATGTGATCCAGTTGCAGTGCGTTTTTAATGTAGCACACACACTACTTTTGATGCGATTTCAGCCCATTCAAGTGAATTGGCTGAAAATGCACTGCACCCAAATTGCACAGGAACACAAGTGTGCCATTCCTGATTTAATCCGGCCCTTAGTGCAGTATAACATTTTTGGTGCTAAAATCTTACATTTTTTAAAAAAAGAAATCTATACATGAGACCAGCTGAGGATAATAGAAGGATTTGGCTCACAATGTGGGACAGTTGGGAGCTATGAATATGACGAGCTAAAAGTCTATATTTTTGTTTACATTTGGAAGCATTTAATTACAGTCATTCTTTATGGGCCACTGAAGACCTGAGAACAAAAGTCCACATTGTTGGGTGAGGAAAATGACTATTAAAGGATTTCATGGTTTTTGGTGCTGCATTAGCTCCCGATCCCTGGAAACATTCCAGACGGTGATGGAGACAACATGTTGAAAGTGAAAAGCTATACACATACCTGAATGGCGGATATTTATTTATTTCAGGTACTTATATAGCGCCGTCAATTTACGCAGCGCTTTACATATATATTGTACATTCCCTTCAATCCCTAACCCTCAAGGGGTGTACAATCTAAGGTCCCTAACTCACATTCATACATACACATACTAGGGACAATTTAGACAGGAGCCAATTAACCTACCAGCACCTTAAAGGCGAGGTTTGCCGCGTGATCCTGGTGTGTGTCAACTGCGGCAGAATCACATTGTGTTTTGAATGCCATTGAATGGCACCCAAACGCCCAAACAGGTCCGTATTCATGTATTGTGTATCCTATGGATCAATAAATATACACTTTATTCATCAATCCTCCGGTGTGCGGCTGACCCTTCTTCCTGTTACCCAAATGCGTGACGCCACGAAATCTGGAATTGCGGGCAGAATCATGCCTGCGATTCCTAATCGCAAAGTGTAAATGGAACCTTAGTCCAGATGTGTGGAAATTTTTGCTGCCTCTCTGAAAAGCAAGCTGCAGTGGACGGCTTTTCAGAGGGTGGTTGACAATTAGCTGGGAAGTGATATGTCACCTCCTCACTGCCTCTTTTAACCCTCAAAAAGCCGAAGCACTTTGCCGCAGCCACATGCATTGTAAGTGGTTGCAGGGAGGTTGATTCAAGGACCCAATAACTTAGGTCCCATGTACACAGGACACTTCTGAACGATGAAAACTGACTGCTGGAAAATGTAGGTTAAAAAACATCAGTTTAGCCGCGTTTGCATACCGCGTTTATGAGCGTTTGTGTTTAGAAGCGTTTTTTAAAGATAACCTCAGGAGACATTCCAAAATGCCCAGAAGTGCACTGAAAAACAGTAAAAATTAACTATTTCAGACATTTTGAGAGAAATAGAGAGAGCAGAAGCAGAGAGAGCAGTATTTGTTGAGATTAGCTGTCTTTTTTGTTTTTTTTTATTGTTTGGATGTATTCCTCAAAGTATGGTGTACTGGGTCCATTTGAGTATTGGGGAAACGCTTTGCATGTATTTTTCATGATAAAAAAGGTCTCTGGACAGCATTGGAAATGGAAGAGTATAAAAAAAATTTCCAAACGCGTTTGGAATGTCTTTGCTTTGCTTGGAATGTATTTTTCATTTTTCATGATAAAAAAAGGCTCTGGACAGCATCTGGAAATGGAAGAGTTAAAAAAAATTTCCAAACGCGTTTACAAGTGTTTGGCGTTTGAAATGCTGATGAAATCTACTCCTGAAAGCAAGTTTGTTGAGTTAAAAAAAAAGGACTGTAAACTCAAATGCCTGTAAATGACTGTAAACAACGATGTGTACATGGACACATAGGAAAACATAAGGGAGAGTTCAGGGGATGCTGAAAAAAAAACGCAGAAAAAAAGCTCCTAAACGTGAGTTTATCAGCTGCAGTGTACATGGAGCCTTAAACTGGTCACGTTCAGTGGTAGTACTGTCACAGTTGCTGAGTGGCTTCATGTTCTTGTGGGGGAAGGAGGGGGTTTGGGTGTAAATACGCACCTCTACTGCTTGCTTTTACTGCCATCCAGCCACATGTACAAGCCCTTAATGATGCAATGTGGGAGATTTACTAAAGGCAAATAGACTGTGCACTTTGCAAGTGCAGTTGTTCCAGAGCTTAGTAAATGAAGGAAGCTCTGCTGACTTCCATTGTCCAATCATGTGCAAGCAAAATGCTGCATTTTTATTTTTCTTGCATGCAGCACAGTAGCTAAATGGTTAGCACTTCCGTCTGGCAGTACTCGGGTCATTGGTTCAAATCCCAACCACAGCACCACCTGTCTGGAGTTTGCATGTTCTCCCTGTGCCTGTGTAGGTTTCCTCCCACACTCCAAAGATATGCTGGTAGGTTAACTGTATCCTGTCTAAATTGGCTCTAGTATGTGTATGTATGAATGTGAGTTAGGGACCTTAGATTGTACACCCCTTGAGGGTTAGGGACTGATGTGAATGTACAATATATATGTAAAGCGCTGCGTAAATTGACGGCGCTATATAAGTACCTGAAAAAAAAAATTTAATTGGGTGTTCTTAGCCAAATGAGGCTTTGACACATTTACTAAGTTCTGGAGCTCTAGAGTTGGGTTTTAAAGTACTGTATATTAACCTGTTTCCAGTTATTACTGTTGTCCATGTCCCCACTAGACACATACATGTTATAAAAAGATAATACTAGCCAAACATAAGTCTTGCATGGGCACAAAGGTCCATCTAATCTGTGAAACTGGCGAGTACGAAACAATTCCTTAGAAAAAAGAGGTATATTAGTTTCGGGATATATTCCTATAGATAATGGTACGTAGACCATAAGGCTAGAAATGGATTATAATTGGTTGGCTTAGGTAACCTTTCTTTCTCATTTGTTTAGAAATGTTCTGTTTCTTGTATGTATTTAGCAATTATGGGAAAAATATATTGTTTCCAGGATTTTGTTATTCCATGTTTGGCTGCCGGAATGAAAACCGTGATTTTCATTTTATTGCCTTTCCTTTCAAATTAAAGCTGAGTTTTAATCTGTTTATATTTTGCCTTCCCTGGTTCCCCCTTTTCCCTCTCATCAAAATGCTAATGACATTATATAAAAAAAAAAAAAAACATTTTTATTACATAACTTATTTTAGACCCAGCAACATCATCATCGAGTCTCTGTGCTTGTGTGTGCAAACAGGCAGATCAGGGCTGGTGGGAGGGACTGGCAGGGTGGTGTACATAGCCTCCTGGAAACATGACAGGATCCTTCATCAGTACTCTTCTCAGGAGCCCTCAGCTCAGATCAGGGGCGAACTGACATCTCATGGGGCCCCCGGGCAATAGGGGATCATGGGGCCCCTGTGTCCTTGCCCAAACTCAAAAAAGCCTATGAAAAAGGTACCAGGGGCATCTCATGGGGCCCCCTACTGACCCCGGGCCCTCGGGCAGTGCCCGAGTTTCCAAATGGTCAGTCCGTCCCTGGCTCAGATGCATGCAGGGGGCTGGCTCTAGGGAGGTAAATATAAAAATGTCTCTCTGGGTGAATGTCAGTCTGGAGGAGTAGGAGTTCACGCTTAATTCAAAGAATTGTAAGTCCTCATGCACACGGGACAGTTTTACAGCGGCTGTTTTTGGCATTTGACGTTTTTTTTCCTACAGCCAGTACACCTCCAGCATGTTATCCTAGGTGTCCATGCACACAGCCTGGAATCAACTTTTTTTGGCTCAAAAAAAACCCCCAGGACTAGTGGGTTTCTTGTAAAAACGCTTTAACACTGAAAAATGCAGAAAAACTCTGTAAAACGCCCCAAACTGGCGTTTTTGGACTTTTTTTTTAAAAAACGCAAAAGTGGCAAAACATGGGGAAATGCCACTAAACGTGGCAAAACACCAATGCAAAAACGCTAAAAAAAAAAGCTGAAAAACTCACGTATTTAACGTGATTTTACACAGCTAATGTTACTAGCGTTATCGAAACGTCCGGTGTACATGAGGGCTTATGCACTTAGTAAAATGGGAGGGTCACAGGCAGGTAAGCGCACAAATGGCAGGCACCTCAATCTATAACTGGCCTTTGCAGCAAGGACAACGCACAACAACGGACAACAAAAATTCCAGCTCACACTTACCAGCCAGCCTGCAGCACAACTGAACTGACCCTGAACAACTGAACTGACAGTTCACATTAGAAACAAGGGATTTGGTTTGCACACATTTGCAAATATATGTGTAAGCTGCAGTGGCCTTGTCAAGGCAGTCCAGTGCACTGCAGTCCAAACTCTATAATTGTGAGTCTCCCAAGTTGGAGCAAATATAGTATTGGATAGGTTAAGGGCAGGTGTGCCTTGAGGGAGCCCACCCCTCCATAGAGGTACAGGGATGCAAAGGACACCAAGCTAGGGCACAATGGACAGCTGAAGATATCCAGTGCATCCCCGCACCAATTCACCAACTATACAAACAAATGGTAATCACCAAAACCTATTATTATTATACAGGATTCATATAGCGCCAACAGTTTGCTCAGCACTTTACAATATAAAGGTATGACATTACAGCAACAATACAATCTGGTACAAGAGGAAACAGAGGGCTCTGCTTGTTAGCGCTTACAATCTTTTTAAAAATATATTTTTTTTTAAATACATTCTTCAGATTTTTTTTAACATATAAAAAAGTCATTTTAACCCCCCTGGCAGTATTCCTGAGTGTAGCTCGGGGTTAACTTTCAGTACCAGAAACGGTAACCCCGAGCTACACTTGGGATTACACTGCAGTGTTTCTCAGGGATTCTTTCTTGCACTTACCTTGTCCTGCGCTCCCGCGATGTCCCCCCTGCAGCGTCCCTGGCCATCTCCTCCGCCCGATGCCGGCATCCGTCGTGTTCCGTTCCCTGCGAGCGTTGGGACGTACGGGGGACGGAACTGGCGGGAATTTCAAAAATGTAAAAATTTGACATTCACTCAATACACTAAAATCTGATAGTATTACATTACTGTATCAAAGCATTTCACATACATTTTGTCCCGAGTGCTTTGTCCTGTGCCCTGCCTGCATTTTTACTGTTCTTTCTGCCTGGAAACTGAGAAATGTCCATGGCGTCCAAAAAGTGTCCCTTTAGGTCAAAAGCGGTTTTAGATCAGCTAGAGAACAGCGATAGTAAATTAGAATCACTTGCAGAATTGAGTGATAATGATTTTTGGGGAAATTCGTCATCAGACACTGAAAACGATTCTGCGACTTTGCTCAGTAATGTGCGACCTTGGCGCTCTATTTCAAATTTCAGTGTTTTTGGTTTGATTACATTACTGAATTAAATTTATTATTATGATTATATTATTTTTTATGATTATTTATTATATTATGATTTCATATTTCAAATTTTATCATACCCAGGATCTATACTAGACTCTTGTTCGGACAGATTTCAGTGAGTTATTCTTAAGAATTACAGGCCTACAATAAAAAAAACAACATATTTCCATTGAAAACAATGTACCGTTTTGAGCACAGAAATACTGACATAATCAGACCGCTAGGGAGGTTAACACATATTTTTACATATATTTGTAAATGCATTCCAGAATTTTTAAAGACATACAGTATATTTGAAATGTATTTTTAAAAATATTTTTCATATATTTTGTAATAAAAACTTATTTCAACATGCAGTACATATATATGTATATTTATTGAAATATATTTTGAAATATATTGAATATGGCCAAAATTGTATTTTTATTTCAGGTACTTATTTATTATTTCCTAGATTGTAAGCTCGAAAGAGCAGGGCCCTCGATCCCCTCATGTTTTGCATTGTATTGGTATTGTATTGGTATTGCTCTGTCACATGTTCTGTCCCCCTTTGTAATGTACAGCGCTGAGCGAACTATTGGCGCTTTATAAATACTGTATAATAATAATAATAATACTTATATAGCGCCGTCAATTTTACGCAGCGCTTTACATATATATATTGTACATTCACATCAGTCCCTAACCCTCAAGGGGTGTACAATCTAAGGTCCCTAACTTACATTCATACATACACATACTAGGGACAATTTAGACAGGAGACAATTAACCTACCAGCATGTCTTTCGAGTGTGGGAGGAAACTGGAGTACCCAGAGGAAACCCACGCAGGCACAGGGAGAACATGCAAACTCCAGGCAGGTGGTGCCGTGGCTGGGATTCGAACCAACGACCCTAGTACTGCCAGGTGGAAGTGCTAACCATTTAGCCACTGTGCTGCCCATTTCAAATATATGGCAAAATATTTTGGAAAAATATTTTTAAAATATATTTCAAATATATTTTTCTTCCATATGGGTTACTGCTAGTGCTTTAGAATATTACTCTGCTAGGGTAAGAGTACTCTCAACATAGATTCATTGGGGTTTATTTACTAAAGCTGGAGAGTCCAAAATCAGACTCCCTTCTGCATAGAAACCAATCAGCTTCCAGGTTTCATTGCCAAAGCTTCACTGAACAAGCTGAGGTTAGAAGCTGATTGGTTTCTATGCAGAAGGGAGTCTGATTTTGGACTCTCCAGCTTTAGTAAATAAACCCCATTGTGTCTGTTAAACATTCCCCTCCATGATCCCAGTTCATCCTTCCCACTTGTTTGACACATCTTAATTGCTTCCTTAGACACCAGGAAGCCTATCATGTAGACCCTCCTTGTGGCTTTGAAGAAAGGATGCTGGGCCGTGTCTGTAAAATGGACAGATCGCAAGCTTTATTCCAGGTGGTTTGTGGGGTATTTATCATGTGATAAATATGCGCGCTGATCACGCCCGCTGTCACTGGAAAGCTCTGCTGTTCGGAGGCCAGGTTAATACTTCCAGAGCTAACGAAACCCAAGCATGAAAAGACAGGTCTGCCGGAGTACCTGCCACAGTTTAATGATATTATCTCATGTTTTGAAATCTAGCATTTAATCAAGCTTTCATCATCCTGTAATATATTGTGAACCTTCATCCATGGGCTGTGCTGTAATTTCATTGTGAATGCCACAAACTCCAAATGTGATTGTTTTTGCTTTAAAGTTTCAGACCCGAGGCGCTGCAGTGATAAAATGTCAGAAGTCATGAAATGTCTATTCTTGCAATCAAAGGGTGGGGATGAGTTTAGCAAGACTTTGGGAATTTTTATAGGAAAAACACAAAGGTAAAAAAAAAGTCAATGGGTTTATCACAACGTCAAGGGTTATCACTACTTAAAGGATAAGTTCACCTTTTGGACAAAAAAAATAAACACACATTTTTTTGCAGGTAAACAAATGTGCATTTATTATTTTTGTCTAAAGGAGCCTGGAAAGTATTGCACCAGTGATCAGTAGATTGCTAGGTGCCATGCAGGTCTCCTGCAGACCTGTCAGAATATCTGCTTGCTGCATGGGATGCATGGTCAAGCAGCTATACTGACAGGAAGCTTCAATGAACTACTATGGTGCTCCACTGTGCCATGGCAGTTCATTGAAAACTACAATCCCATAGCCGCTAAGGCTGCTGGGACTTGTAGGCACTCATTCACAGAACTCTGTAAATAAATGATGTTGCCATGTAGGCGGAGCCCCACTGTTTTCAAATCTGACAGATAGTACGGGGAAACTTCACCCCGTATTATCAGTCGGAGGGAGGGGGGACAGCAAACGCGGCTGCGGCTATGGGAACATGTTACACGTTCCACCCTAAAAACAGATGGAACATGTAACAAAGGTGAACTTCTCCTTTAGCCTGGGTTCACATACATGCATTGTGGTATATCGCATGTGATTCATACAGGAACCGCACCGCATTCCTGTGCAAATCACATGCGATTTGTATCTGTTCTTTCAGCCCCGGGTCCAATCGCTGAGAAACTCATGTAGACTTCACCTCCGCAACATCTCCAAGATACGCCCGTTCCTAACCCTGGAAACCACTAAGCAACTTATTCACTCCCTTGTTATATCTCGCCTCGACTACTGTAACTCCCTCCTCACTGGCCTACCTCATCACAGGCTATCCCCTCTTCAGTCTATCATGAATGCTGCGGCCAGACCCATCCACCTTACTAACCGTTCCATATCTGCCATCCCTCTCTGCCAATCCCTCCACTGGCTTCCAATTGCCCAATGGATAAAATTCAAAACGCTAACACTGACGTATAAAGCCGCTCATAATACTGCCCCAAATTACATCACCGATCTTGTTTTCAAATATCACCCAAACCGTACTCTCCGCTCCTCACAAGACCTCCTACTCTCTAGCTCCCTTATCTCCTCCCATGCTCGTCTCCAGGACTTCTCCAGGGCTTCCCCCATCCTCTGGAACGCCCTACCCCAATTCATCAGACTATCACCTACTCTGCTCACCTTTAGGCTCACTCTGAAAACCCATCTCTTCAGGGAAGCCTACCCCGCCCTCACCTAATACTGAACTCCTCTACTCTTCCAACCACTCCATCCCCCACAGCTATTTCCTCCTGTACCACTATTCCCTCCCTCC